GGGGGCCACTGAGGGAGTCCTAGACTAGGGGGTCCTCGGGCGTCCGGGCTATGTAATGTGGGTCGGACTGATGGGCCGTGAAGATACAAGATCGAGGTCTTTCCCCCATGTCCGGATGGGACTCTCCTTGGCGTGGAAAGCAAGCTTGGCGTTCAGATACGAAGATTCTTTTCTCTGTAAACCGACTCTATACAACCCTAGCCCCCTCCGGTGTCTATATAAACTGGAGGGTTTAGTCTGTAGAGGCAATCATAATCATACAAACTAGACATCTAGGGTTTAGCCATTACGATCTCGAGGTAGATCAACTCTTGTAACCCCTATACTCATCAAAGTCAATCAAACAGGACGTAGGGTTTTACCTCCATCAAGAGAGCCCGAACCTAGGTAAAGATCGTGTCCCCTGCCTCCTGTTACCTTTGATCCTTGGACGCACAGTTCGGGACCCCCTACCCGAGATCTACCGGTTTTGACACTGACATGCGGCGACGGTGGAGGGTAGACACAGTCCCCCTTCGTCGACAGCTAGAGCGCCTCCTCGAGGCTAGGCCAGCAGGCCTCCTCCTCCCGCTTGGACTCCTTGAGGGCATGCTGGTGCGTCTCCTCTAGTATGGCGAGGTATGCCGCCTCGGCCTCCTCGTCATCCCAGCCACCCATATCGGGGGTGGTGGTGCAAAGCCAATGTCCATCTGGACGGCGCCGCTGTGCACGTCATGCTCTCTGGCGAACTAGATGTCCCAGTTGGGGGAGTTTGGCGCGTACACCGGGTCGCCGTGCTACTCTAGCGTTAGGAGGGCATGGCATTTGCGGATCTCCTCCGCACACGCCCGCACGGACTGCGGCACCGCTGACACCAGAATGCGGTGGGGTCGAGGTGCCAGCCATGGGGGAGTTCCACGTCGTGACATGGCAGCGGGACGCGGTACTCCCAGCGGCACCGCGCGGTCCACCGGGATGTACAGACGGTCTGATGGCTGGCGAGCCCTCCCCATCGCTGGCACCGGCAGCCACCACGCCGGTCCGCGCAACGAGCTAGCCTCATCCTGCTTGGGATTGCATTTCCTTTGCCAAATAAACCTGCCATGGCTAGGGCTAGGGATTCTGTCTACCTATGATGGGGCCCGCGTCGCTAGATCTGGAAGGGCGGAAGAAGAAGTGGATGAGGTCGGCCCCCCGCATGCTTACAAATTAAAAAGCATGGATTCCGGACGCTTTCATTGGCTGCCATGTGGTCCCGAGGTGGTAGGTACGCATTGACTATGACCACGATGGTGGTTGGCCGGCTGACAAGTGGGACTGAGGCAGACGCGCGGCGCGTCCATCTCGTGTCTGTGTGGACACAAATCGAGCGCAAAATTGGGCCGGAAATGCGTCCACACAGACAGGGAGCGGACGAGATTTGGGTTTGCGCTGGCGCGTTGGCCTGGTGTTTTCGTATATTTCAACCCAAACAAACATGCGTGGACCAAATGTGTTGGAGCTACCCTTAGTTTTTCTTTTTTGACATTTTGTTTTGAAAAAAAATGATATTTCATTAATTATAAATAATCAATACATCATTCATGAGGATCATTACAATTTCATTTAAAGGCTCCTCGAACCAATCCAAAGTAGAAGAAAATATAGCTATTCTAGCAAGCTCATGAGCTACTTTATTTCTATTACAATGTTCGAATCTAGTCGTAATAAAATCACATGCATAGTAAAAGCAATCATCGAAAGTTGCCGCCGCCGCACCCGCCTCCTTTCTGCATGGTGTCAATCACTTCCATGTTGTCTCAATTAATAATAAGGCGATTACACGCCACTTTTTGCGCCAGTGTTAGGCCAAATTTGAGAGCTAAGACGTCTGTCATCAAAACATCCGCACAATACTCAATCTTCCCATTTTCTCCAGCGATAAACCTACATACCCTTAGGCCTTGTTTGGTACTAGGGTTTTTGAGAGGATCCAATCCCTTTCATTTATCCCCAATCCACTAGGTAGGGGTAGTGTATTGGGTATTGAGAAAATGCACTAGAGTTTGAAGATTTGTGATGAAATATGGGGATGAAACATGTCAAATACATTATAACTAAATGGTGTTTTGAGATTTTTTTTTTAGAAAAAGAGGATGACCCCTGGCCTATGCATCTGGGCGATACATATGTCCACTTTATTAATTATTTTCACAAGACCTTGCAAAGCCATACAAACATCAAGACTAAAGCCATCGTCTAAGCAACAACTGTCGCTACACCTATCCAATTGATGAAGGGACGCAGATAGTCTGGGTCTAATACCAAATAGACATCGCAGCCAAACCTAAATACTCCCTCCATTCCACAATGTAGTGCTTCCTCTATCCTTGTGCTTCAACTTTGACTGTAAATTTAACTACCAAGACCGATTGCGGCGGGAGCAAAAGTTATATCAGTGAATTCGTATTCGAAAGAAGTTTTCAATTATACAATTTTTTCTCCCGCCGCAATCGGTCTCGTTGCTTAAATTTATGGTCAAAGTTGAATCTCAGGAAGCGCGGGCGCACTATATTTTGGAATGGAGGGAGTATCTAATACCTAAGGTCCCAACCAGGATGCCTGCCGGGTATGGGGCACCTACCGGTCCGGCGCACTCCTCAACCAGGACGCCTGCCGGGTATGAGGCCGCCGCCGCCACCTGCCACCAATCCATCTTCAGAGTTGTACCGTTGCATGTACCGAGCTAGGTCTCTCTGCCATCGACGCCACCACGACGCCCGACAGCGTCCTCCTCCTGCGCGAGTCCATCCTCCCACAGCGAACTCTGAATCTGCACTGCGCCACGCCATCAAGATCCGTCGCCATCAGTGTGTAGGATGAATCACCGCTCCACCAAAGAATTCGTCCTCTGGTCCCTCGATCACGTGTGTACCTCCAAGAATGACGCCCCCAAGGAAGGAACGACACCAAAGCGCCGCCGTCATCCGATCTAGGGTTTCCCCAGAGGTAGCAGAGAGCGGCCTTGAACTTCTCCGCGGTGATGCCTTCAAGAAGGGAACAACACAGATAGCGTCGCCACCGTCGGCCTTAGCAGACGCCGAAGGCAAGTTTTCACCCAGATCAGTTCGAAGGGATCCAACTCTCGTGCACGGGCCGCCGTCACCACCAACACCACCAGGCAGAACCCTGGAGCACCGGCAGATCAGCGAGCCACCGGCACCACCACATCCAGATCGCAGGTCACGCCGGGCCGCCGCCAACCCCCGCGTCGTCCGGGTCAGAGACGGTGCCGCCAACCACGCACGGGGACCACCGCCGCCTACACACGTCGGAGCGCCGCCGAGAGCCCAGCGCCCGCCACCGCTTGCCGAGGGTCGTCGCCGCGCGCCCCGAGCGGACTCCCACGCACACCAGGAGAAATCGCAAGCGTGAGCCCTGCCGTCGGCCCCAAGCCTGCGCCGGCGCGCCGCCAAAAACCGCCGCGATCCGCCCGCGCCAGATCCAGCGAGTCGTGGGAGAAGAGATCCCGCCGTCGTCGATGCCGACCGGGCTTTGCCCGGCGGCGCGCCCCGGTGGCGGCGAGGAAAAGAGGTCGGGGGAGGGACGAGAAAGCGGCGGAGCTAGGGTTCCCTCCGGTCGCCACGCAGGGGCGACACGTGAGGAGTCAGGAGGATAAAGAGCCGTGTCCCTCGGATGTGTGTGTGGACTCTGCCTATCAGATTACCAAAAAAAAGTGCAGCGAGATATGTGGGGATTTAGGAGTTTGACCGGGATAATCCTCGTCAATTTCCTAAAATACGCTAGTACCAAACAAAGCCTTAGGGTTTAATTTTAGGGGTTTGCTAGAGTTGGTCTTACGGCCTGTTTCGTCCCACGGTTTGCCCTCGTGTGCTTTCTACTCAAGTCGAAACCACCTCGTGTCCGTGAGGGCGAGAGGACTGAGTAAAACAATGGTGCGGAGGAGGGAGCTACGTTATTGAGTGATGGAGGTGGGGTGGGCATTGAAGAAGAAAGGGGAAGAGTGGAGGTCGGCGCTGCAGGAAAGGGGGGCAGAGCACACTTCTTTTCTGGCCGAGGAGCATTCTGGGCAGGTTACTTCCCTTGTGGATCTAGCGGATCTGGAAGAAGGGTTGAGCGACAGAAGCATCAACGATTCTGGATTTTCTTCCACTTCCTTCCCAACAGAGGGGGAGGTGCTTGGGCAGCATAGGAGTGTCTTCTTCGATCCAACCAAAGGTGAGAGCTTCCATGCTTGCATTCTCGCCTGATGCAATTCGGAGCATTCTGTCAAACTGATTCTAAACTTGTCCTTGAAAATTTCTTTGCCAAGGTTTATGGGAGTGTCGGCACTGCGATTGGACACACCAATTGATTAGTCCCTGCAGAAATGTCGATTTCCCAAATTATCAAAGGTGTGGCCAAGTTACAATGGAGGCCCCCTTTGACATGGGGTTCCTTCTTGGCAAGCTGGGCATGCTGCTAGCTCCTCAGGGGTGCAGGCTGCCGAGCCGGGTTAAGGACAGAATGCACCTCCTCAAAGAAGATGTTGAAGATTTAAGCGAATACCTTGCTGAAATGGCAGAGGCAGAGGACCTTCCCCTGACGGCCAAGCGCTGGATGAAAGAGGCGCGCGAGCTGGCCTATGACATCGAGGATAACATGGACATGTGTCTACGGCCTGCCATCAAGACCACCAGATTCATCTGCAAAATCGGCCGTGTTAAGATTCCCAAAAGGCTCTTCTCCAAAAGAGTACTTCCCAGAGGGCTCAAACAGATTGCCTACACAGCTCAAGTGCCAGCAGAACATGGTGGGAAGACCAGATCAGTCTGCAAAGCCATTCGTGTTGTCATCAATTGTCTTCCCAGGAGGCTCCGGTGGTACAAGCATATCATGGAGCTGATATCAGATTTCAGGGTGTACATCCAAGAAGCGATTGAACGGATGAGAGGTATGAACTCCACTGCTACAGCACGTTCAGACATAGATTCGTGTCCGCTGGCTGTACACTTCCAACGCCGTATGGAGGAATTGCCAACATGGTAATTGATGGCCGGGTGAGTGAGTTCATCGACTCATTGGATAATGATAGGGATCAACAGCTCAAGGTGGTATCTGTTCTTGGATCTGGATGTCTTGGTAAAACTGCACTTGCACAAGTGTTGTACAACAAATTTGCGGGGCAATTTGACTGTACAACTTTCATCCAGGTGTCCAAAAGGCCTGATGTGGTGAGACTTCTCCGCGATATGCTCACGCAAGTCCAGGGGCAGCAGCCCACTGAGGATTCTAAGGAACTTGACCTTGCTAGCAGTATCAGGAAACATCTACAAGATAAAAGGTACCACCTCTGCTTATTGACACATACCCTCCTAGCTACAAAAGGTGAAGCCAAGCCCTTCTAACTTTGACTGCTTACATATAAACAATTATATCGAGTTATAATGTGAAAATAGAATTATTAGATTTTTCAAAAGAACACTTTGATAAAGTAAGTATATCTTTCGACTAACATATGCATATACAGAAAGAAGATGGATAAAAGTGTCTATTGGAGACCATTCCGGTGTCTAAAACGACATCTATTTAGTGACAAGAACTTACACAAAATGTGTTAGTGAGACCAATCCATCACATGATGCCATAGACCTGGTTACACCTTGAGTTGCATGCTTATTATGCTTTTTTTATTATTTTTTTATTCTGCTCCATTTTAACCAATTTTGATAGTATCCTAACATAATGTATACATGCATGAATTTTGTTCACATTCAGGTACTTAATTATTATTGATGATATATGGACTGCATCAACATGGGATATTATTAGTCATGCTTTTCCAAAACGTAATCGTGGAAGCAGAGTTATAACAACTACACAAATGGAAGAGGTTGCGTTAACATGTTGTTGTTATCACTCAAAGCATATTTTTGAGATGAGGCCTCTGGATCATGATCACTCAAGAAAGCTGTTCTTTAACATACTTTTTGGCTCTGAAAGTGATTGTCCTAAAGAACTCAAAGAAGTAACAAACAAAATTGTTGAATTATGTGGTGGTTTGCCGCTAGCAACAATCAGCATAGCTAGTCTACTATCAAGCCAGCCTGTTATAAAAATGGATCTTTTGGCGTACCTGTGTGATTCATTAAGCTCCTGTTTGTGGACATCTCCTTCAGAAGGAACAAGACAAGTATTGAACCTCAGCTACAATAATCTTCCTCGCTATTTGAAGATATGCCTGCTGTGTCTTAGTATGTACCCGAAGGGCCACACAATGTGGAAGGATGATTTGGTGAAGCAATGGGTCGCTGAAGGTTTCATCCATACAACAGGAGTGCAAGACATGGAGAAAGTTGCAGCAAGCTATTTCGATGAACTTATCAAGAGAAGATTCATCCAACCTCTATGTATCAAGTACAACAATGAGGTGTCGTCCTGTACTATTCATGATGTGGTACACGATCTTATTGCAGACAAGTCTAAAGAAGAAAATTTCAATGTGGTAATAGATTCTAGTCGAAAGAATGTGGCACTTTCTCATAAGGTTCGACGCCTATCTCTCCTCTTTGGTGATGCAAAATATGCGAAGACACCAGAAAACATGAGAAGGTCACAAGTTCGGTCGCTTACTTTTTTGGATTATTTGAGAGTATGCCTTCTATTTCAGAGTTTAAGCTTCTTCGTGTGCTAAGCCTTCAATTATCTGGTTATGGTGGCCGTGGCACCATAAACCTCACTGGGATTTCAGATCTGTTCCAACTGAGATATTTAAAGATTGCAAGTGATATCTGCATACAACTACCAGAACATATGCTAGGGCTACATTGTTTGGAAACACTGGTTATGGATAGTGAAGCTACTGCTGTTCCATGGGATATTATTCACCTCCCAAGCTTGTCTCACCTGAGTCTGCTTGTTATGACAAATTTGTTGCATTGGCTTGGCAGCATGAGGTTCGTTGGCAAGCTGAACAACCTGCGAGATCTTCATCTGACCTTTTCCGTACCGTCTTCAGACTATCTGAAGAGAAGCATAGAAGCTCTGGGCTCCCTACTCTCAGGACATGGCAACCTGAAAACTCTAGCCCTGGTTAATGGCCTCTGTCACAGAAATACCGTGGTTCGCGGTGCTTCAAAAGTGACTGTCTCCTGGGATGGCTTAGTACCTCCTCCACTTCTCGAGGTGTTTGATTGGTCGCTACGCAGCTGCATACTGTCCCGTATTCCGAAGTGGATCGGAAAACTTGGTGAGCTCCACATTTTGAAGATTGCAGCAAGGGAACTTGCGAGGGATGGTATTGATGCTCTCAGAGGTTTGCCCGCCCTCACTGATCTGTCGTTGTATTTGCAGACGGCTGCTGTTGAAAGGATTGTCTTTGACAAGGGGGGGTTCTCAGTCCTCAACTACTTCAAGCTCAGGTGCAGTGTACCTTGCCTGAAATTTGAGGCGAACTCAATGCCTAATCTCCAGAAGCTCAAACTAGGTTTCAATGCCCCCAGACCCCTCATAGACCAGCATGGTGCTAGTACGGCTATAAGCATTGGCCACTTGCCATGCCTTCGAGAGATCTATGCAAAAATCGGGGGTGCATGTGCTGATGCAGAGTCTGCTTTAGCAACTGCCATTAGCAATCATCCGAGCAATCCTAGGATCAGTGTGCAGTTGGTGGATTATACTTTTGATGGTGATGAGATCACGCATGATAAAAATGAACAAGATGAGGTTGTGGAGGAAGACCGAGTTGGATACTTGAAGAAGCTACTTATGTCTTGTGCTAGAGCTGTGGATGAGAAGGACAGCTTGGCAATCGATATGACGGTTCCGGAGTTGGGGGAAAATGTTTCAGTATCTGGCAAGCCACTCCAGAGACTTGGAGAGTACATGGTTGAAGGGCTTGTTGCCAGACTTGCCTCCTCCGGCCATTCAATCTACAGAGCTTTGAAGTGGCAAAAGCCACATGGCTCTGAAATGATATCCTACCAGCGTGAATTGTATGCCGTCTGCCCCTACTTAAAGTTTGGCTACGTGTCGGCAAACGGTGCAATTGCAGAAGCCGTCAGAGGAGAAGATATGATTCACATAATTGACTTCCGTATCTCTCAAGGTGTTCAATGGATTTCTCTCATCCAGGCTCTTGCGGCCAGGCCTGGTGGACCACCAACTGTAAGGATCACATGCATTGATGATTCTGAATCAGCTTACGTGCGAGGAGGCGGGCTAGAGATACTCGGGAATACTTTGTCAGACATTGCTCGCGAGTTCGGGTTGCCCTTTGAATTCCATGCACTGGATATCTCTGTCAGCGGAGTGGAAGAAGGGCATCTTGGAGTCATCCCTGGGGAAGCTGTGGCAGTGAACTTCAACCTGACACTGCACCAGATTCCTGATGAGAGCGTGAGCGCGGCCAACCACCGCGACCGGATCCTTAGGCTGGTGAAGCAGTTGTCGCCCAAGGTGGTCACCATTGTGGAGCAGGAACTCAACACGAACACAGGCCCCTTCACGCAGAGGTTCGCGGAGACACTCGACTACTACACCGCCATTTTCGAGTCCATCGACGTGGAGCGCCCAAGGGAACCGAAGGAGAGGACCAAAATGGAGCAGCACTGCCTGGCGAGGAAGATTGTGAACATCGTCGCCTGCGAGGGTGCGGAGAGGGTGGAGCGGCACGAGGTCTTCAGCAAGTGGAATGCGCACCTCACGATGGCCGGGTTCAGACCGTTGCCACTGGGCTCCCGGGTGAAAGACAACCTCAGGACGCTGCTGCACTACTACTCGTCGAACTACAGGCTCGCCGAGAGGGACGGGGTGATATACCTCGGATGGAAGAATAGGGCCCTCGTGGTATCGTCTGCATGGCACTAGTGTTATAATGTGATCTAACGACCAACTTCATGCTTGTGCTATGTCCTCATGATCTGGGTTGTTTTGAACCATGTATTGTGTGAACTCTGAACTACCTGTTTCTTAGTAATATGTGGAATTTGATCATATTTCGTGATATGGGAGGGTTGTTCATTTTTATCCTTCTCTGTTTCAGACACTTCTTCCTTTTAAACCGAGTACCGGAAATGTGTAACCACAAACATTGCAACGTAGGCAATTGAGTTGAGGCCACAGATTCCAGGGTGACATTGTACCAACTACATGTTCCTGGTTCACAATATTAGAATAGAAAGTCCTGAAGGGTGATTGACCACTGGTGGTAAGTTCTCTTCAGATTTTTTGAAATGAAGAACAATATCAAGGCATGCTATTAAAGTTATTTAAGTCATGATCAGTCGGATTACAAATTATTGGTGATTCAGTTCACAGTACAAAACCAAATAGTAAAAAAAAAAACAAGGCTAAAACCTACAAGGCGTGGCTCGTCTAAAAAAACTAGAAGGCATGGCTGCACGAATTAACAATTGGCTACAGTGTAGGTTCAATCGACGGCTCGACTAGAGAGCATGGTTGACCTAAAATGAAGAGCGTCGACCGGTGAAGGCTTGACTTCAACATTCAAGACATGTTCTGGAGAGGGCCTTGGCTACCTGCCGCCTTGTCCGCTCGCCCTGAATCGACAAATGCGTGAACGTGCTTTGATACCTATTCCCAACACCACCCATTCCTATCCCAAAGACTCCCGTTTGTGATGCTTGTGCCAAGAGTTTGGTGATCCTTGAATCGAATCTCTTCCTCTTACGACTTAAACCTAGGTTGGCATGCTGCTCTAGAATTTGGGTGGCTCATGCCTGCTAACGCCTAATAAGGCTAGAGTGGTGATCAGGAGAGTATCCTACTACATATATATAGGCTGGCCAACTTGGCGTTAGTTCCTGTCTCGTTTTACTAGGAGAGAAGTGCATATTACACCCCTCAACTCTAGCCCTAGTCTAATATACACCCCCCAACTCCAGTACCATCTACTTTACACCCCCAACTCTCAAAACCAGACGGAATTCAACCCTCCCCTCCCCATTGACCGGTTTTAACCCAGTTGACCGGTTTTGACATGTTGACTGGGTGAACAGTAACAAAAAAATCAAAAAATATTTTGGTTTTTCCAATGAGTGAACAGTAAATTCAAAAAAAGTTGGAAATAAAATTCAACAAGCAGTTTCGATTTTTTACCTGGTGAATAGTAAATTCCAAAAATACTTTTTTCCAAAAAAACCGAATTATTTTTGCGTGGACGATTTTTCAGTGCGTGATGTCTGTGACAATTTTCAGCTTGTTTGGACATTTCAGTGGTCTCTCAACAAAAAAAATATATCAGCCCGAACTGTTAACTGTTTCATGCAAATATAATTCAGAAAAAAAATTCCCTTAAATTTTTTCCTGAAATTTACTGTTCACCTGGACAAAAAATCAACATTTTAAAAAATCAAAATTATTTTTAATTATTTATTTAGAACTTTTTAAAATTTTACTGTTCAGCCGGTGAAAAAACGTAAAAAGTTTTAAAATATATTTCTTTTAAATTTACTGTTCACCCAGTCAACAGGTCAAAACCGGTCACAGGAGAGGGAAGGGTTGAATTTCGCCTGGTTTTGAGAGTTGGGGGGTGTAAACTAGATAGTATTGGAGTTGGGGGTTGTATATTAGACTAGGGCTAGAGTTGAGGGGTGTAATGTGCACTTCTCTCTTTTACTAGAGAACTCGAATATATATGTGCTTACGCATTACCAGCTCTGTACTTTTGATGGTTCGGATGTATAAATCAAAGTCATCAGAAAAGGACATACTCCAACTTGATGCAGTCACACATGCAGGGATAGAGGCAGGGGTGGGCGAGGTGGGGCCATGGCTCCCCCCATGGTATTTTATTATCTGAAAACACCCCTATATTGTTAGTTCAAATGCTCTATTTTTTAATGTTTGCCCCCCTCCAAGCTTTTACCTCTTCTATTGGCCCCCCTTTATCAAATTACTGGCTCCTTCCCTGCACATATACCTGTAGCAGCGCTAGTAATTTTTTTAAGACAAAGGCTCTTTATTACCTATGTATAACAATATAATGCAAATACAAATCTGACTGCATAACTGTTTTTTGGTCAGAAACCTTGTCGATAAATCGGAGCACACACAATCAAAATCTAACGTGGACCTTTTTTATTTTCTGATTTACATGCATTAAGCAACATTGCTTACTGATTCTAATCGATTCATTTGGTTTGCATAGCTCCTCGCTTACGAAACTTCTGGACATTTAAAATGATGGCACCATGTTGTGCAGTCACCAATCAGTGTAACTGTAGGCATAGGGTCAACTTTAGCATCTCCTAAGTATTCTTTAAGTTTATTGACAGTCGGACACCATATCATAACAAGCACTTAGGTACAGTTGGTAGAAGAAGAGAACAATTAATTAAACTTATAGTTCTTCTAGTGGTTTTTTGAGTATCTATGTGCACATTCTCTAATTATTGTAATGGTGTAGTAGTGGCAGGCTCATAGCTGTGTAGTGGTGATTCAGGTATTAAATGGGAATCCTATCCTACCATTTCCATGTCATAGTTAAAATAGTTTTACCAGTCCTGGCTTATTAATCAAATGGAGGAAAATATGTTTAAGTTTCAGATTGAGATCCTAAAGCAACAGATGCTATAACAAATTAAGTTGATCTTAGTGGTCTCCGTCCAAGAACTTCAGGCTAAAACCCGATTATTAGGTTAATCATGGTTCTCAAATGTTCATTTGAAATAG